CGTGATGGATTATATCACTAAAGAGATCACCCCGCTCTGCTCTCAGGATCCGCTGGTGCAAATATGTCAGGTAGCAATATTGCGACGAAAAGACTATGAACTACCTTTTCTTGTTTATCCAGTTTTAAGTTCTATATCAATTCAAACCCGGAATAGTTTTGCATGCAAAGAGTAATACACTAATACAGTTAGAAGTCAGAGAAAGTGGAAGTTTTGCTTTCACCCATGCATGTGGTTTTTGTCACGTTTAGCGATGTTTTGAGAATGAAATATTCAACGTATAAATTATGTCAAAGCTAATTGATAATGAATAGTCGTCCATAATAGTCTATAATTACAGCTCTAATAGCTTAGTATCTTATCTACATCGACTATATCGTTAGTTTCGTTGTAAACACTTTTTTAAAATATATTTCTAACTCTATTGATGAAAAAAGATAATGACAGATCTAAGACGCTGACATATGAGACATTGGAGGTAATTTGCTTGTGTTTAATTAAGGTCTCTAAATCTCGATCTGTTTTTCGTGATCCAGTCAATCTTAGTAGATTTAGTTTTAGCAAAATTAATGATAAATCAGAATTACAACTTGGAATATTCCTTTTCTTATTGAAATATTGCTTCTAGCCTCTAATAACAATGTAAAATAACGATTTACTCGGTTAACACGGTCCAAATGGATAGCATTTTCTAGCCTTTTACCTGTTTCCACCCATTACACTTAGGGTGGATTATAAATTAAAGAAGTAACCGTCTTCGATGCGCAAAACAAGAATTTATTTGACACCCATGGTTTATTCCCAATTAATCAGCCAACATATTTGTGTTTCAGCTATGATAATAGTTCTTGAAAGTGTTTATGCCACAGTTTGTTTCAAATCAATAATAGAAACCGTTTTACATCAAATACCACGATGTTCATGATTTTAGAAACTGAAAGATTTATCAATAGTAGTGCGAGTGGGTTATCACATACTTACAGAACCATGAGAACCTATTCATAAAGGGTAACGTTCATCCAAGTCTCTTATCTTACTCACATCATAGTTCTTTTCGTACATCAGAGTGGTAGAGATGGGGCATATATAGCGTCTTAGAAGGACAGTGTCTTTGCATTCAATACTTGTACAATAGTCATTTAGACAAAAACCTGTAAAGTTTAAGTAGAGTCGGTACTGAGTTGTTAATACGTCTATATAACAATTTACACTTTGTCATTCTTTCTTCGAGAGCCTAATCATCCGGGAGTATCTAGTAATAACACGTTATTCCTTGACATGGAAGATCTAAGCCTAATAGTCAAATTTCGTGCTGTAGAAAAATGATTGAATACGCAATTAATATAAATTAGAGTTTTTGACTGCTACATATGTAAATCATATTTATTAAAGGGATTATGATGATAAATGTCACACATCAGCTTCCTAGATAATACCCTGGGCGTAAAGGTTAGTTCTAAAGCTAGCGCTAGCCTACCTTTAAAGAAGCTACATGTAAATCTAAGGAATTCGAAGGGTACCTAGATAATCAAACTTCGGTTCTGACCGGGGAAGCAGAAAAAGTAAGATAATCCATTCATCAAAGAGTTTAAGCAATCAACCAATCAACATATACACTCCCCTCCATAAGTTTGGCAACCTTAGCTCCCCCATTGAACTACGTGTTAAAACCTCTTCACGTTTGAATTTTTAATTACTTATCCTGCGATGAAATTACTTATACTATTGATGCCGGGAAACGTAACTTGACTTTATTTCCAATTCCTCCAAATTTTCCCAATTTTTTCCTCAATTACAATACGTCGAAAATTGATGATAAAGAAGATGACATTTTGAAAATCGTCATTCACATGTAAACCAATGGGAAATGGTGGGTTCTGGGCAAATCAGAAATCAGGATATCTTTTCAGTGAAAGATTCAGCAAAAAATATTTTTATACAGAAAATTTAATTGTCTAACTTTTTTTGTACACTGTGTTTAGTTTACTTGATGAAGACTAAAGTTACAGCTATAAAATCATTTTTGAAAATCATTTTTCGCCTCCTGTGTTATTTTAATGGGAGAGGTTGAAAAACAATTTTGAATTTTTAAATTCATCAAATTTATCATCAATTTTCTACCTATTGTAATTGAGGGAAAAAATTGGGAAAATTTAGAGGTATTGGAGAGTCAAGTTACGTTTCCATCAGTATTATAAGTAATTATATCGCAGGTTAAGTAAATGAAAATTCAAACGAAAGCCTTTAACACGTAGTTCAATGGGGAAGCTAAGGTTGCCAAACTTATGGAGGGGAGTGTACATGCAGTTCACTAAGAATGACATATCTGAAAAGATGGGCCCACGTTTTTTAAACATATCCACGCTTTAAAAAGGGTTCACATTTTTTCTGGAAGAGATTTTCAGAATCATTGGTTAATGAAAACATTGAATGGTATCCTGTTCTAAGAGCTGAAGTGAAAAAGTCAATCCCAGTGTGGATCGAACCCACAACTCGTTTTCCGGGCGAGTGCTATTTTTTCTTGAAAAGATTTTCAGAATCATTATTTTGGACATGGACTTCTATCTAAAAGTGCATGTTTTGATTAATGATCTAGTAGATCAAAGGAAAAAGTCAAATAAATCGAGGTGTACGTTAATCCATTTTGAAAGAAGATGGTATCATTTGCGAGGCAAAGTGGGTTCACAGTGGCATGTGAATCTGTCATTGAATAGGATGTTGGACAAGATATGAATAGGTTTCCGAAGAGTATGTCCTTGATTGAGAAATGTTCAGATATGTCAGCGTCATGATAAAATGAAAATAATTATAATCATCTTTGATAGAGTGAATACTGAATAGACCTTTCTGAAAAGGTACATATTAAACTCCCCTCAGCTTGCAATAGTAGTTTTTGATTCAGATAATGGATCAGGATTGAACTAAAATCCTGGAGTTGTGGTTTCTTACAAAACAAGTATTGATTGACCCCTAAAATACAAATGACACCCTATGCAGACGGAGCCTGTGGGAAATATTTGGTGCGGCAGAAATGAGCGTTTGGTGCGGAGATGCAACGGTCATTTTTGAATTTAAGGGATATTTCTGAAACTAAGCCGTATATCAATAAAATTGTGAAAATAGTATAATTCATTCTATAGTGGTGCAGTATACATTAAACATCAGATTAACGTGCATTTTAGCAAAGACATGAAAACGTTTTCCCTAGGATGTATAGAGGCAAGTTCTGAAAACAGTCGACGTGGTCCAAGTACTCACAACACATAATATCATCAAACGATATTAAAGTTCTTTGTTAATAAGCGTCTGTCGTACCAAATATTTAGAGGGGGGGTCATATCTGATGAACATTTCCTGATTTGTATAAAAGCACACAGACACTGTCTGTAGCTTCCAAGATGCAAAAATAATGTGTATGGATAGTGTATCTTGATCACCATTTTTTATGAATGCTGGGGACGCTGTATAAAAACGACATTTGCAGAATATAGGTCGCGAAGAGGTTTAATGCATACTGCGTCGTTATAGAATAAATTACACTATTTTTCACAATTTGATTGATACTCGTTGTCAACGACACATATATAGAGATTATCCTATATGAGGTTCAGGATATTGGGATTATCCCGAGGCAAATATAATATATTTGCCCGAGGGCCGCAGGTCCCGAGGGAAAATATGTTATATTGGCCAAGGGATAATCCCAATATCCTGAACCGACTATAGGATAATATGTTTATCCCATACCGATCTTGGTTATCTGGTTCACATTGTTCAATCGTGGAAATATTTTAGAATATTCATGTCCAGTTTTGTTTTCTTGGCCGTGGGTGGATTTTCCTGTTCTCTCAAATATTCCCATATTTATTTTCTCGAATTTTTGATTGATTAAGTGGATGCTCCTTGCTATCAAACAGATCCCGATTGTCTGTGTTTTCTCCATTGTCGTTTACAGTCATTACGCGAACGTTACAAATTATGAACAAATATGCGAGCGACGATTATGACGTAGCGGGCAGATATACTATATCTGCCCGCTCGGAGCGGGACGTAAAGCTATATCTGCCCGCTGATGAAAATATAAGTTTTTACAAACTGGCTTTATGTACCTGTAACACGTCCAAGTATGGGATAAATGGGTATATTTGAAGTCCAAAAATGGCTCAGTATCAGAAACATCCCAAATTTAAATTCAAAAATGACATTTGCCTCCGCACCAAACGATCATTTCCGCCGCACCAAATATTTCCCACAGATTGTGTTTGCATAGGGTGAATGACAACGCCGACAATTTCAAGGAACGAAACGTAATTTCCAAATATCTCCCGGGAATATCCCACTCTGTTGTCTTGAACTAATTTAAGACCCGTCCGATAGAAATTATTATCTTGGCAGTTGTATTGCTTTTAATTCATTGACCACCTATATTGGACACCTAATCATCCCATGGATTGATTAATCTCTGCGTTAATTACCCGCGAGAACATTCAACTCTGATTTAGTTTTCTTATAAATCAGCTATGGCAAGTTATTATAATCCAACATTCTTCAGCATATGACAAACAGTTGATTTTTTGTGCACAGTTTCTAGTTTTTTCATTTATATTTACACCACTGACCTCGACAAAATGGGTGTTGCAAGTTTCCATCTCTTAAGACAATTTTTCATTTTAGATATAATTTTCTAAATATTTGCAATTAGTAACAACTGTATTTACCTGTTTTTCCAGAAAGAAAACTCTCATCATATAGAACACATATCTAAAAGGGGGAAAATGTCAAACTATTTGAACGAACGATTAAAATTGTTTCAGTCGATATATCACATATATACCTGTTCATTTATTACCTCGTGCAGCTTCCAGATAGCTTTTTCCATTTTCACTCATGTGTGTCAGTTATATGGAATGTACAAAATTGTAAAATGTTTTGTAAAATATCTAGAATGATAGTTGAATTTAAACCGAACGTAGGTGAACAAGAGTTTATTTTGTTTTCAGCAATGAATGATTCCGAAGACACCCTGGACAGCGCAGCTAGCACATTCCTTGCGGACGTGGGTCTCTTCTCTGAAGAGGATGTTGATGGATTGGAAGATTTGGATGGCGGGGACATCTTCTCACTCTTCAGCAATAGGTCATTGGTGAGCAAATTGCTGATCTACGTCCAGCATAATATAAGATAAGATATGACATCCTGTATTCCATAGCTACTGAGGTTATGGGGAGTAGTATGTCTCTAGGGATCAGGTTGGATACACACATATCCATTGGAATTAACTCCGTATTTAGCCATAATCCCCCAGGACATAATCCGGTCGTAGGCCTATATGTTGAAAGGATTTTAATAATTGGGGAAATGATTTATGATATTGGTTTAAGAATTGAGATAATAATGTAATGGCGTTCGTTGTAAGAGCGTAAGGTTACAGTTGTCAACTTCTTGCCTACTAATGATACGTTTTTAAAATGACTTATCACGAAATGTCGACAGAGTAGTAAATCAGAGCAGAGAGACAATCAATATGTTAATTTAAAGTTTTCTTGCATCAATCATTGTACCGAGACACAATTATATACCTCAATGTCCTTCTGTATTTACATGGTCGACAGTTATTCATAGATTTCTTGAGTTGGAGATCAAAGTCAGTTCAAGCAATTAAGTATGATATTAATAGCTAGTTGGTTCCGTTGTTTTCCGGGATTTTGAACCTAGCTTTTGATTGTATTCTATATGTTTCAGCAGCATACGCAGCAGCTGTGTGCGATGAACAGCATCATACGCAGCATCTACGCGAACAGCGACAGCAGCAGTAGCGACATAGACTTCGGCAATTATTACAACAGTAACATTACCTGTAATGACACAATTGTACAGGGAACGGCATCAGACTCTAACGACCCTGCTATATTAACAATCGGGAGAAGGTTCTATGTGTATTTGACTCCCATCATCATTCTAATCGGACTTATTGGAAATAGCCTATCCCTAAAAGTGTTCACTTCAAGACGAATGAGAAAACAATCCTCGAGCTATTATTTAGCGACACTATCGGGCAGCGATCTTCTTACCTTACTCCTTTATGTCCTCCCTAGCTGGCTTAAGGAGGCTTCCCCGTTAATCACTGGTGATCAAAGGCTGGGTTTCATTGACTATGATGGTGTCTGCCATTTATACGTTTATTTCGCTTACGTGTTTCGATTTCTCAGCGTTTGGCTTATTGTTATCTTCACCGTTGAGCGATATATCGGCGTCTGCCATCCCCTCCGCAGAAGGGAAATGTGCACTACATCCTGTGCCGGGAAAGGTGTAATCTCTATCGCCGCTTGCTCTCTATTGGTTTTCGCCACAAAGCCTGCTCTGAGCGGTGTCTATGAAACCGTGGCCGGTGGAGAAGTCCATCGATGTACCAGTCGACCAAATTTCAAGTACGTCTCCTTCATATTCGACAGCGTCTTTGCCGTACTGACCACATTTGTCCCATTTATCATCATTCTCAGTATGAACTCTCTCATAGTTCGGAAACTGTTTTTGCACAAGAAACGACAACGCAGGGATAAACTGGTTTCACCAGAAAATAGGATGAAAATAGAATTCACACTTATTCTGCTCACAATTTCAACAGGTTTCATTGCTCTTAGTCTGCCCTATTTCGTAGCTTGGTGCAAGAAATTCAACTTATCCCAATACATGAGCAGTCGGACTTACGAAATGAATGCGAATATGGACGAATATAAATGTATTCAAGGCCTTGTACTTATAACACAGACTATCTTCTTCATCAACTACTGCAGCAACTTTTTCCTTTATTCATTGACGGGTGCATACTTCCGAAGCGAGTTGAAACACTCCTTAGGTTATAGTGCTTGGCAGACTCGACGGGCGTCATCACTCAGTCTGTCAAGAGGAATGTCAAAATCAACAAGACATTCATGGGTATAGAACATAGACATATCCACTGGGACAAACTTTTGCAATCGAAATGTTGCTTGTAAAAGTAGAACTCGTCCAATATAAGCTGTTATTCAAGATTATATTTGAAGGACAAATTAGGAACTTGAAATCAGTACCCAGAAGACATTCGAGTCCAATTCTAGAAAGAATTCCAATTATGGTCGAACAGTCTGGATTGACGTGAAATTTATAAATCATGTTACGTCGCTTTACAGATATATTTGTTACAGATGGTGTCATTTGAACCTCAATTTGAAGACTTCCATCATTGTAAGGGGAATGAAATCCTAAAACCTGATCACGAATCAACACATTACAATCCCAAGTAATGAGACCATTAAAATGATGAAACACCATTCATTTATATTTGCAATTATAGTTTTTGACACTTCTGTTTGGACCTGAACTCTGGACCGGTGTCTAGTAATGTGGAGTCAGATCAGAACCAATATTTAAATGGCACTTTAGAAATAATAAGATCAGATTGGTCCCCATTCGAATTCCTATCGTGTCATCAGACACTCAATTTGTCTTTTTTGCCGATTGGATCTGTCACAAACAAGTTTAGAACATTCTTGCAGAGGTACAGGCCTGATGAAATCTATGATGTATATATACCCTAAAAGATTTTATCAAATTATATTGTAAATAAAACAAAACTAAGGCACTTGTTATCAAAATAGATAGTTATTGTCATTCAATGCCTTCAATTAGTCAGTAAATGATATCAATACATTCATTAAACATCCATGATGCTTCTATGTTTAATCGAAAAGATAGAATGTTGCGTCATTAGAAGGCTTGGAAATTTAAATAAGTCTTATTCAGACTTTTTCTAATTTACAGACCTCGTTATAGCCTTATTGTCCTCAGAGTCTGGATTGTAAATCATCTATTTCGTTTCAGCACGAGATGATATCCTGCATTTGAAAAAGGTAATTTAGCCAAAACAGGAAAATCGATGTTTGTATCTATCATAAATTCTTATCTGACTAAGAATATATTTTATGATTGAATGTTAAACCATCCATTAATAATACGTGATAGGTAGAACGCATCTTTAGACTCAATCTTTCCCAGATCTTAGTTACAACGCTATTTGGAAGTTCATTTTGTTGATTAGCCAGTAATGAATTTGATCTTTATGCTCATTTAAACCCAAGAGCTGCAAATCGTTTGAACATCTTTAGAAATAAATGTACAGTCGTACATTCCATAGATTGTTTAGAACGATGAATTTATTATCTTTCTGACATTTGATGTTTCACTGTATGTACAGTGATCGCCTATCATTACAAGTGCGTCAGTAATGACTCGACAAGATCCGCAAAATTCAAATATATTGTAACGGTTATTTTTTAATGATTTATTTGTGTTAATATTACAGGCTACTGGTGATTCAATTAGGTTTTGTAGGCACCAGAACACCCATATGCTTTGAAAAATATATATAAGTTTGACCATTTTTCGTATATGTGTTGGACTTCACGATGTTAAGATATAAATGTGATATGATATCCGTTATTTGATTTGAAAAGGTTTAAAATATCAAAAACAAAAGAACATTTTACACTTTTTAATTTTTTATACTTAGGTTGGGTCTTGGGCTTCCATTTGACCATGATTAACTCCACATTTCCTCTTAATAACATGGGATAAATATTTGAACACAGAAATTAATGGATCAGCTTATAGTGTGAGTTTCAGCAGACCAGACACCCAGAAATATTTTGATTTTGATCATCAGAAGAAAAATGGGGTTTCTCGCAGAATTTATGTCCGAAACCAAATAGAACATTAACATCACTGTTTACTGATTCATTAAATGAAATGGTCACTGTGTGTGCGTACATTTCGTTTCGTTTTTCTGTCTTTAGGTTTGAATACAATGACCCTTTAATGATATGTACAGTAGAACCTGCCAAGTGGAACACTTCTTTAAGCGTAATACCTAACAAGTGGAACAGGTTTTTAAACCACCAAGGGCGTTCCACTTAGAAAGGGTCTATTGTATTTCGAATGAGCTATTGTCGAACAGACTTGCTTACCAGTTTGATGCCATGTGGACAATTTCGTTGGTCTATTCAATCACACCCCTAACTTATGAGGTTGACCATTTTCAAATTCCAATTTGAAGAAACTAAAAACTTGAAAATCAAGATAGAGGTTTATTGGCCAGGTTCTATTTACCTAGTTCATAGGAAGTGCATAATGGAGGCTGAATAAGATGATATCTCATTCATTAAAAGCCTCAATCAATCTATGACAAAATATGAAAATAATAAGACTTGGACAGAAATTTCACCTTCTGATTCCAAGGTATGATGTTCTACAATGTGGTTTATAATGTTTGGGAATTTAGGAGTCGCGTTTAGAAGGACAATGGAGAGGTTAAGCTTTGCATATATAATCGAAACTGAACCTGTACGTATCACTCGACCATATACAGGCCTCCTAGACTTCCAACAACGCGAACATCAGTTCTGATACCGCGAACTACGTTCCTTGCACTCGAACCACGAATCTTATATCGCGAACGTGAAATCTTATATCGCGCACCACCATTTCCTTGTTTCCGAACATATTTCTTGTACCTCGAACAGAGATCCGTTACCGCGAACAATTTGTACTGGCATAATACATCCGGGTGTTTGGGATTCCAAGTTACATGATTGTATATACCATGCAACGGAGTGAAACAAGGAAACGAAATTCAGTTTCTCCTCCGCTTTCGCCGGACTTTCGTTCCTATGAAAAGCATGCACTTGCATGTTAGATGTCCCATTCGTCACTGTATTTTGAAACGTAATCTTAAGATTAACATCCACGCCCCGAGTTGTCAGTTCTTTAAATGATGTGTCAAAGGAAAGCACTGCGTCCCACAGTCATTCATTTTTGGGATCAGAGAGTATCTGCGCACGGTGTGGTGTAATAGGAGATGTCATTTGTAAAAGCGATATTTTTTTCCTTTTTATGACCGCCATTTTTTCAGACAAGTTTCTAAAATTTTAAAGATTGTAAGCAATATATTGGGCACATTTTCTGAAAAATTCAAAAGACTCTGTTCATTGACCTTTCCTATGCTCCTACTTAAAGCTATTTACAGTGACCTTTTCAGAGGACTGAAAAAGTTATTTCATCATGTCATGATCCTGGTCACACTGCATCATGCGACCTTTAACTACAAGGTTTACTTTTATACAGTACACTTACATTGTAGTAATCAGTTATAGCTGTATTCTGTGTAGATGCACTGGCCCGCCCCTCCCGCTGAGATGGGCCCAGAAAAAAGGGTCCGACATTTTAGCGCTCCACATGTCTTGGGTCAGATATCGTCCTGGTTGCTGAAGTCAGGAATTTTTGGGGAACATGGGGCAAAACGGCCCTCATAATAGTTTGATCCGTGCAGAGGTTTTTCTAATCTGTCAATCATCGCGAACTTTCATGTTCCATCTTATGAAGGGATTATATTTCACATTTTCTGTGATTTTTCAGAGCGTTCGAAAATAATGTTGAGAGGAGGGCAAAATGGCCCATGGGTGGGGCAGAACACCCCACAATGAAAGCTTCGGTTTTAAAACCAAGATTAATTAACTACAGGACTCGTCAACACACATTTATTTCAGACGGTCAAAGATTAGACAGATAAAGTATTCTTAGCCCTTACCCTAAAATTACGATTTAGTAGTCATTTGATATGTTTTGAAACAAAAACCAAGTGTTAAAATCTTTATCAGGATGATAGATTGTTATTTTCCTGTATGTAAACAGTTAATCCCATAAGCCGTAATGGGGGAGGGGGCAACATTTAAGTTAAGTTTTCATCTAAAACGTTGACAGGCAAAGGGAAGCATCTTCAAATTATCAGTAGCTGGAGCGACAGATATAGCACATCAAGTATTCTATAAAATCAGGAATATTGTACATAGGGTAACTCATTTCTTTATTATGATGCAATCATCGGCTCAAATGGACAAATTTGGAAAAATGCTGGTAAAGAGAAAGAAGATATTCTGGATTTTGAAGCCCTGTGATCGGAGGATGTCACTAATTTGGCCATACGTGTTGTTACTCAAAAGTCAGGTTTTTGTTGTTATTACCCAGCCCTTTCACTGAAAATGTCAATGCGCGTGATTGCAAGGTAGTCCCAATATCTTGTGTTTCCTAGAGCTTGAAAATACTGTTATCGTCAATGATTGGATATTCATTCACATGCATGAAAAACTGGGAAAATATTTCTTCCGCATTCCACATGAAAACACCTCTTTGGAATTACACTTATGCGTAATAATACGAACAAAATTACGGACTTTTTTCGATCAGATGCGTGGTTCGCGGTAACGGATCTTTGTGCGAGGTACAAGAAATATGTTCGGAAACAAGGAAATGGTGGTGCGCGACATAAGATTTCACGTTCGCGATATGAGATTCGTGGTTCGAGTGCAAGGAACGTAGTTCGCGGTATCAGAACTGATGTTCGCGTTGTTGGAAGTCTAGGAGGCCTGATATACAAATTCATGTAGCCTTCTCATATAAATAGCCGTTCAAATCCAGTGTTTGTTTAGACTACACCATAGCGTGTAATGATTCTATAGTATGTCATTGATGCGGTTTTATAGCTGGTTTTCTAGTACATATTTTAAACGAGCTCGTTTCGTAAGATTTTTGGCGCTAAATCATGCATGACATACATCATCGTGTTCAGCAAGAATTCAACTGTGCATCGAAATCAAAATTGACAGCATAGTGTCCAATAGACACGAGTAAAATGGTTCCCGTTGACCCAACGTCAAATTTCAAATCTCCCGTTCTAAACCCGAAACTCTGAAGCTGAAAGAATATCTGAAGTAGACTAAGCGCGCATAAAACTATGAGCGCTCGATACATTCCTTTGTTAATTTTTGTACTTTGCGTTCACGGTTACGTTGTGAAAGACATCGGAGAGGTTAAGCTACCGTATAAAATCCAGAACGCAACTTAAACGTATCAATGGCCCCTATACAAATACATGTAGAGTTCACACATAAATAGCCGTTCAGCTCTAGTGTTTGTTTAGACTACACCATAGCTTGTAATGATTACATAGTATGCCATTGATGAAGTTCAATAGCTGGTTTTCTAATACATATTTTAAACGAGCTCGTTTCGTAAGATTATTGGAGTTAAATCATGCGTTACATACATCATCTTCTTCAGAAAGAATTATACTCTGCATCGAAATCAAAATTGAAAGGATAGTATTCAACAGACATGAGTATAATGATTCCCGTTAATAGCAACGTGAAATATGTAAATCTCCCGTTCTAAACACGCAACTTTGAAGTTGAACGGGTATCTGAAGTAGACTAAAGCGATACAATCCTATGTTGATTCAATGTACTTTGCGTTTACGTATACGTTTTGAAAAACCGTATTTGCTTAACCTCTCTACTGTTAGCTTAACCTCTCCAGTAATAACAAATGAATCCAACCACTCTAAAATGCAAAGAGCATATTATTAGAATTCACATGGTAAACTCTTACACTTGGCTGATCATAATTATTTGTCATAACATCCTTAACCATAGGTATGTTGGTTTTGTGGTGTTGGTAATTTAAAAGCAGAAGATCTGGTGAAATATACATTTTCGTTCGGCGGGTTATTGATTTTGCTTCATTTATCAAGTCAGATCAGGTATTTCGGTTAAACCAATCACTGAAACATTTTGCCAAATGATTCTTGAGTCTCTTATACAGCATATGGAATACCATATATAGGTAAAATAATATAACAGTAGTAAAGAAAATAGAAAACAAACATACCTTTCCTCCGACATTTAGAATTTTGCGGATCTTGTCGAGTCATTACTCATGCACTTGTAAATAATAGGCGATCACTGTTTATACGGTGCATATAACCATACAAATCTGCAACGTGCATTTTCAATATTTACAAAATGTATTTTCTGTAAATATTGAAGCCGAAAACAATTGCTC